TTGTCTGTTTGAAGTTTGCTCGCATGCAAATTGCACTGATTACCGCGTTGCACTTTTCTTCAGTTCCCCATTTACTGCTGTTCCTCCCATTCCCCTATTTCCCCCATTTCTCTACTGTTCTTTGCTTACACATTTGATTTGGTTGCATTTTGTCTGGCACTTTTCATGTTTTCTACTTAAGTAAACCTAACGCAAATCGCCTTCATTGCAGACACTTTTTCTTCACTCTATCGTTCAGCTCTGCTCTTGCACCCTCCTGCCCAGCCATTATATTTTGGCCAGTCCGCGCTTTTAACACTTGATGTATTTATGTTAGCCTGTCCCTAGCTACAATCGAGCGTTCTTTGTTTTGCTTTGCACTTTATGGGGCAGGGTCAGCGTCATAAAATTTAACTGCATTTATACTGCAATTCAAGTGGAAATGAGGCGTCATTTGTTGGGCCCCATAGAATACTAACAGAAATTTGTAGTAGCGTGTTGCCGCTGCGTCTTATTACAAGAGGGTGCTTCGCATTGTACTTGACTATAATAGTTTTCACATGGAGGGCGGTTGATAATGATCTACATACAATTTTTGATAGCTTTATGGCCCAGAGTGAAAATAGAATGTTTTAAGTACAGAGAGTGCAAATTGCAAACGGTTAAAAATGGAAATGAAATATAAATATAGTAATTATAGTAGTTAGAAGTGCATAAAAGTTATATATAATTGTGTATCGAATAACTTTGTCATATTATCTTTTATCAGTAATCAATTTTGCAATTCAGACAGCTTGAACTCTTGCCTCGTCGCTCTGCTCTATATATACAGACATACATACATATATGTATATATATATATATATCCACTTTTCAAACTGCAAAGCTCTTCAGTGGAGCCCTTAGCCCGTGCTCAAACTGAGAACAACAACAAGCATTGCACACAAAACCCAAAAACCAATCAAAGGTTGCTGCTGCCTTGCCGCCTGCTGCTTTTGCGACGACTGCCAAAAAGTATGCTACACTTTCAGCGACAGGAGCAGGACTAGGAGCAGCAGCAGCACCAGCACCAGCAGCAGGATCCACAGCAGGAAACAAAACTCGGCGACTCACTCAAGCATTTTATTAAATTGCCACCTTCCGCTTGTTGTTACGTTGGCTCCAACAACTGTTGTCTGCAACTGTCTTTTATTTTCGATTTCTAGGCATAAACCAACACACAGTTACCCGTCCCTTCCTTGGCCCACCCAAAAAACAGAAAAGGAAAGCAAAGAGAGGAAATACCAGAGGAATATTTCTGCCATCTTTTTCTATTATATCGTTTCCGCTGTTTGGCATAAATTTCTGCGCGGCGGTGGCCAAAGTAAAACTTTTTTTTTGTTTGTTATTTTTTATGCTTATTGCAAGTTTTCCTTCACTTTTTTCCCATCATTTCCATCTATCTGTTATTTTTGAGGTTGAAGTGCCAAAGCACACGAATACCAAATACAAAATACTAAAAACAATAAAAAATCAACTTCAAGGCAAGCGGAAAAAATATAAATAAAACAACAAAAATCGTCTAGTTTTTGGCTTTGCGGCGATATTGAAATGCGATTGCGGCAGAGACTTAGTATATGCACAAATACATACACATATATACCAATATATAGCTATGTATAACTGTATATATATGTATATACATGTCTATAATGCGGCAATTGTTGGAGTTAGTCCAAAATGCATTTGCATTGCCATCGCTTTAGGCGCATTGCGGGCGTTTTGCCTTTTAAGCTTATCTAAAATTGAAATTCAAACACGACATAGCAATCAGAAAAAAAGCTTTTAGTTCGGCTAATTATATAGCCGCAGGAAGTCAAGCTTAAAGCGGATCAACTTAGCAATGCATTAGCAGGAAACTATTCATTAAATACACACTCGCTTCTTTAGGTATCATAATAACAATTCAAATTTAATCATATATTCATTCCATCTACATCATGAGAATTCATTTTGCCAATTGGCATTCGCTCTATAAATTATTCTAAATCTAATTAGTTAAACTTTTCGCGCTTATATTCATTAAAAATCTACACAAACTGGTATCAAAAGCAGCCAAATAATATAACGATATTTTGGGACGAAAGAATTAAGCATACGCCATGCTGAACAAGCGTAATTACACGCATAGCAGCAGAGTGAGGGAGAAAGAGAGAAGGGGAAAAGAGCAAAGCGGATGCAGCTGGCAGAAGCCGCATGTCAAAGTTTCTTTGCGCTTTTCATTTTCATTTTTTTCACTCTCTCGTTCAGCTGGCAGCAAACGCTACAACTTGTTAACAATACGCGCCGCTAGAGGTCGCCAATTAAAAAATTTGCCAGCGCCCATTGCATGCAACATGCTTCACTGTATGTGTGCGTGGGTGTGCGAGTGTGTGAGTGTGTCGAAAAGTCAACATTTTTGTGGTCACTTAAGCAGATTAATTTCATGGGTATAATTAAAAGAAGAAGCCGCTACAAGCGAGATGAATGGAGAGCGTACGAGAGAGAGGGAGAGAGGGAGGTATATATATATATATATATAGAGAGAGAGAGAGAGAGAGAGAGCGCGCGGTTAAGCTGGCAACGAAAAAAAATTAACATATATTAAATTTTTGTGCACAAAACTTTTCTTTTTTTGCCATGTTAAACAATTTTGCAACGCGGCGCACATAATTGATGGTTTTTAATTAACTGCCAAGTGACCGACACGCAACTGACAGAAGGCCAAAAAAAAAAAAAGAGTGAAAAGACTAAAGTGGCATTAAAAAAAAAAATCCGCTGAAATGTTTAAACTGTGGCCCGTCCATCGAGCCAGACACATGAGTGGGGAGTGGGGAGTGGGATCAGGATGCTCGTGGCATGCCACGCCATGCCCCCATACATTGACTGCTGCAAACAAAAGCTGTCAAATACAGCTGCAGTTGCAGTTGCAGCCGCTTTTAGGCCGAGTCAAACATTTGACATACAGTTTTGGAGCAACTGCAGACGCACAATTCGAAGAATTACATATACATATGAAGCATATTTAAATATTAATCCAACCCTCTGACAGCTGAAACTGATGAAGTTCGCATTGAAATGCCTGTTTCAAAGTTCAAAGTTGCCGTCAAAGTTAAAATGCGTTGACAGGCGCACACAAGCTGAGCGTCTAATAATAACGAAAACACTTGACGTCAATTAAAAGTCATGAGCATTGTCTGTTAACTAATTTAGCTCGTAATGTCAACATTTTTCATTGACTATTATAACATTTATACATTTAACTTTCAGTCAAAGTGCTTGTTAAATATCAAGAGAGAATTATTCGAATTTTTTCGGCTTGACATTTAACTTCCAGTCAAAGTGATTGCTAATTATAATCGAATATCGATTTCCCTGCCAGGAAACCCAATACACATAAAAATCTTTTCGTTGACATGCAGTCAAAGTGCTTGTTAAATATACACGGCCTTATAGTATTTTACTTTGATAAAATATATCTTGAACTTACCATTGCGATTTTCACTATCGGCGGGCTTCATCTGTATGGGATGATACATCTGTAAATAAAGAGAGAACGAGTAAGAATATAAGTATGTACAAAAACTTCAAAGAAATTACAAACAATTTTTATTTTTAGCATATTTAAATTACTTATTCTTCATTTCTAAGCTCCCCTAAGCTCACATATTACTTATTTCGACTTCATTTATATTTGATTTTTTCTTTTGTGCCATCCTTTTGGGGCTTTTGCCTTTTACGCTTTGGCGAGCTGCTAACAAAATTCCAAGGATTTGGCCAACCTAATTTGCCGTGTTAATCACATTTGATATATTGTGGCGCTATATAAACGACGCAGTCTGCGATTAATTTGGCCGGCTCTTTGGCGCAGTGCAACCAGCCAAAATTGGACAACTTAGTCCCAACAGACGCGCGCTCTACACAAACACACACACAAACACACACACATACATATAGATGTATATATGTTTGTGTGCGTGTAAGTAAAGTCCATTTAGTTGGCGCTGCAGCAGCGTATGCCCCTCGCTTCACTTTTTTTCCCCCTCTCTCTCTCTTTTTTTTTGCTTTTGATAGGCGCTTAAGCTGCATAATGAATGAATGCAGTAAAGAGCCGACAAGCTGCTTCTAACTGGCCGCCAAATCCTCGACTAAAGCCAAACACATTTATTCAGCGGTCGCCGAGAAGCAGCAGCAACAGCAACAACAACTTTTACTCTTTTTCGCACTCTCTCTCTCACTCCTCTGTGTATCTCAGTTGTTGCCGTGAAAATCCTAAAATATGCGTTCGCATTTCCCTATTTTACGCCAAGTTGCAGCAACGTTTTAAATGTAATTTTTCGCACAGCGTCTTCTAATTAAAACAAGCTTAAAGCGCCCGCAAAACGTGCCGCAGCACGAGGTCAGGGGTCAAGCAGTATGGTCGAGGGAGCCCAAACGAGGCCGCATGCCCGAGCACTTCCGTCGCCAAGTCTGCGCGGCTAATGGCCCGTGATTTATTGGCAACGACAACAGTTCACGTTTATAAGGCGTGCGGCGCGTCCTTGTACGCAACACCCTTTCTCGCATTTCTCTCTACCTATCTCTCTCTCTCTCTCTGCTCTTTCACTCGGTTGCCTAAGCCTCCTAGGCGCTCATAAATAATACACGCAACGCGACTTCTTACAAATTGCAGTCCAAGTCAACCTGTTCCCAGCCATGCTGCTCCGGCTCCTGCTTTGGCTTGCCCCTTTTACCATTTTTTATGTCCCTGCCACGCCCCCTTTTATTTTTACCAATTCCTTTATTTTCACTCAGGAAGTACCAATTACCAGGTCAAGTCAAACCCTCTAAAAACTCCTTTGGGCATTAGACCTCAGACACAGTGCAATTTTGGCTAATTAGTTCGAGTATAAATTGTGGTTGCTATATTTATCTTGATATTCAACACTAGTAACACTTGCCGAAGTCAATTCAAGCTTATACGTATAATGCATAGTATTCATAAATTAGCTAAAGAGAATACAAAATTTGATATCATATCTAAGCTTAACTATCAGTTCTCGGGAGTATTTTTATCCTACACTAGCAGTGTTGGAAAATCTGTTGGTTATTCCATTGACTGTCAATGTTGTATAACTCCATTATTCAGCAAATATGCTCTATCTATCTATACACGTAGTAGAAGTATAAGGTAAAATTTAAATCTTGCCTACTGTGTAGTGTTGTAAAGCACAATATACATAGCTAAATGCTGTGCTTTATACTGAATATTTTCTTTGTCTATCCTAATAAACATTCTAGCTTTAAACTAAACTAATTAAAATAAACTTGCTGCTAAATTTACTTATTATATAGTTAGACAGACTAAAGAAACCAATGCAGTGTTGTTAAATGTTAAAAATATCCATAATACCTATATGTGTTTTATTCCACATGCGAAATACTTTTTAAAAGCGTCGTAAGAAATGTTCGAATCTAGTTTTAACGTCTGTCAATTTGGTAAATTTCCATGGAAAAATTGTCAATTGCTGCACATGCAGAAATGTTCACAAACCAAATCGAAGCCTCTGCCAATTTCTGTGCAGTTGTTTAGCTTCCTGCAACCCGTATAATTCTCTAACCTTTCCGTACTTTTAGGATTTCAGCTGTGCCTTTCAATAACAATTTTGTAAAATAAATATCGTCGCGCAGCTGCACAATTTCTTGTGCTTCTCATCGGTTTCTTTTTTTTTGGCAGCGCCAACGACATGCACAAGTTATGTCAGATTTTGAGCGCCCGACACAAAGCATTGTTATGTGTAGCTTTGCATAACCTAGCTCAACATACGTACCCCATTTTTCTTCTTATCCAGCCCCTTTGCCCCTTGGAGCTCCTACATGACATACCAAATAATAATATTCATGCTGATTTGATGGCGCAATAGAAAATGCGAGAAAAAAACGCAGCAACTCGAAATGTTGTACGTTTTTCGCTGACGTTGTCTATTCTAGCCCTCTATGCACTCTACCACTACCCCTAACCGCACCCTTACCCTATCTCTATTGTTGCTTTAGCTTGCAGCTCCCAAGCGCAAATTGACATTTTTGTGCCTGTGGCTTTGGTTTCTTTCCTTAGCATAAACTTTCGACGCGTGCTAACAATTTTTTCCCCTTTTTCTTCATTTTTGCTATTATCTTTTTTTTTCGCAATTTTTTGTTGCATACTTTTAAGCAGCCAGGAGGACACAGGGCTAAACTTGGAAATTACTTGCATTTTATATTGATTGAAAGAGGAGCTGAAAGGGGGCTGGAAACTTAGATAGTATT